CAGTGTGCGGGCAGCAGAGAACTCCTCTGAACTGCAGGTCCCTCCAACTACTCCCTCATGTAAAGATACTATGGACCTCCCTTATCCCCTCAGTTACCCTCTCCCTTTGTTTATTGCCAATTTAGTCTTGGCACCTCAGTGCATTAGGATATTCATACCTTGCCAGTGGACAGCCTCAGGCTTGTTGAGACGCTATACACAGCTCCCAGAGCACTCAAACACTGCTGCTAGCAGGTGCACCCGCATAGCCTCTGTGCAGAATTAAGCCACAAATAGTAAGTTTCACTTTTAAAATTATTCAAAGACACGGCAAATACAATTTCTATAGGAAATTGGTTTTCAGCTACAGCATGCCAGCTCTATTCCTTCTAATGGAAAAGCTGGTGTATTTGCTCAAAAAAGGGAAGGAAACTTAAGTTTTGCACTCTACTCAAACTGAGGTCTTCACGTAACATTAATCTGTTGTTCCCTCACTGAAATTCCTCACGTAATCAGGCATGTGGGGGGAAGCAGTCAATACCTCGAGACATTCACAGCCCCCCAGGCACTGCACAGCTTAGGATTCATGTGCTCTGGGCACGACCCGTTGGTAAGACCAGCCTGGAGCCTTGGCGAGATAAAGACCCCCCCTCGCACCATACCCGCTAACTACGCTGAACATAATAGCTCTGTAGTTTGTATGCGAAACAAGATTCATAAACCTCATTTTCCTTTCTAATAATCTGAGACTGAAGCATGTGCCTTCGGCTGGAGAAAAGATAATGCTGACTGTAGCCTAGCCCACACAAGTTCTTTGATCACACTCCTGGCATCAGCAACACATTATTTTGTTGCTTTGTAAAAGACTGAGGTATGTTCAAACCCAAGGGACATGCAGGAACTCAGACTGTTCAGTCTACTGGTAGTAAGAGACAAGAAGGCCTGTACATATGATACTTCTACACAGTTCTAGTACGCCTATGGTATTGCCACAGTTGGTTTTAGGTGCTTCTCCCCCCCCCCACTTGTCTTGTGGTAGGAAAAGACATCTTTCTCATTCAACAGATCTACATCAGTGCAGAAATGGGGAGGCAAAATTTTGCAGTTAGAAAGTTTTAGCATATGCCACTTGCAGAAAGGAAGTCAGTGTAACAGGTAGCACAGAGTTAATGTGTATCGGCATGAACAGAAAAAAATTGAGGACTCAGCCAAATGGTCAGGGAAGTGTATAGAAATTACAGCTGGCAGGGTTTATCTTACTGATTAAGTGTGTACATATTCCAGGAAAACAGTCAAGGGGATTTCTTGGGGCTCTAAGGTGTAGTATTAAATCTGGCTATGGCAGGTGGCAGAGGATGCCCTAAGCCTTTCAAGGTCTAGGTAAGGTTTTTAAAGTTACTGCTCCAAACTGGATCAAGACAAACCTGAACAGCACATTGAAAAACAGTAGCTTCATGACACTGACCTACCACTTAAGAAATACCCACTTGGTAAGCAATGGGAACTGTCACTTACCAAGAGAAACAAATATTTTGTTCTTCCCTTCCCCCCGCCCCCCAACTGAGTAAGACAGTTGTACATAGCACATACAAGTACCTAGTTCTGGTTGCACAATGGAGAGTGTCAACACAGCCATTTTTGTGGTGCTCACTATATACCATCTACCATGCTGAAAACTGTATTATTAAAAGAAAGCGTTTATTCTGTATTTATCTCAACTGCAGAACCTCATGTGCCTTTAAATAAAGAGCTCCCTTTTATAGTGGTTTATATTTGATTACATTAAACTTCATTTATCCCTGATAAATCAAGTTTATTGCAGCAGAGAGCAGCGCAATGAATTAAAATCCTTTTTAAAGTAGTGTATAAACCTTCTTGAAGGGAATTCCGTGGCTTGATGGTCTACGTTAATAACAACCTTATTAGTAGTAACTCCCATGAAGTGCCAAAGGAGACAAGTCATTATGCTTAAGCAGGGATCACTTCTACATTGGCGCTGGGCAACAGTGTTCTTAGATTTTCCCTGGAAAATGGGGGACAAACTTCTGTGGTACATGTAGTTGAAAGAGCCTGTGTAGTTCTGTCATGCAAATTCAATCTTCAGTCCTGTACTAACGACACAGGTGCAATAAATCCAGTACATGACTGCACTGCCACGACAAGTCTTCCTTTAGTAACCATGATGGAGATGGATCAAGTGATAATCCTGAATCTTTATCAAAATGCTAATCTAATTATCAAATAAAAATAGTTTCTTTTAAAGATTTTTAATTATTGTAAAATGCTCCCACTGCAGCCCAAACTACTGCTATCCCCAGGTGCTTGCATTATCCTTTTAAAAAAGTGGTATGCAAGCTTTCCTGATTAATCGGAGATTTGACAAGGAGGAAGGCCCCAGGCTTTCTTCATTAACACCATGGCTATTTTAGCTAAGCATAGAATGGAAGGGATTTTTTCCCCCCTTTCTCACATGATGCACAGCATCAAATATTGTATGCAAAATGATACTTGACCCAAGAAAGAGAAAGCACTTCCTGCTGCCCACCTTTTTCCAGGCAGAGGAAACACTTACGTGTACAACTTCTGTAGAGATCCTTCACACGGCTGTTGTGACTGTTAACACAATTAACGGCAACATAAGTATTGCAGAAAGTATTAAACTGCTTGACAGAAGTAATACAATGACTAGTAATTGTTCTAGTACTACATAAAACTCTTTTACCTTGTTATGTAGATAATGTCTGTTCTGCAACTGGGCACCTGTCTCACCGCAGGCTGAGCTAACACCTGTAAGATAATCAGGAGCATTTAGCTCTGTAGGACCCAACTCCATTTCTTGAAGAAGTGGATAAAACCAAGGCCAAAATTGCAAAAAGCAGTCTCAGGTGAACGCGGTCCTGAGGAAAGTGACTCTAGCCCTGCGCTGCCAGTGGGTTCTTCACAAGACATTTAACCAGCCACTCAACACCCCCCACCCTCCCAAGGCTTACTAATGTCCACTCATGTTCCAAGAGAGTAAGAAATATGTCTTGCTGATGCTGGAGAAACTTTTGCAGCAACATGAAGTAATTGCCACAGCAGTTTTAGTCAACAATAACTGCACTTCAAAGATAAAGGATATCTAAGTTCTCCAGCACATGCTAAATTGGGCACCAAAAATTGGCAAGTGTTCAGTAACTATGGCTTGGATTCTGTCTCAGACCCCCTCATCTACAGAACAGGGCTACTATTCATCTTTCAAATTAATACTGATATTGATGAAAAATCCAATACAGCAAAAATCAGAGAAAGTCCAGGGAATTTAGGGAAATTAATCAGGGAAATTAAGTACATATACATATAGTGCTGGGTTTAGATGATACGCACTAAATTAGACTTGGACCCCCACAACTGAACATAAAAAACCCCCTATTATTCAGTGAACACCATCAGCTGTGTACACTGAATGAAGCAAGAGTGCTATAGAAAAAAACCACCACTTGATCATGTAATAATACACAAAGGAAAAAGGAAGAAGACAGCTCTACATTAGCCACTTCCTAATTTTTGAATATTTGCCTTTGCAATCGTGGTGTTTCGTAATTTAAAAACAGTGTTTTAATATTACCTGGTAAAATGAAGGCATAATACTTCCTCCCCCCGCCCCCCCCCTTTTTTTTTCCCCTCCTTTTCTCCTTTTCTTTCTTCCATGTATAGTAACATTAAGCTGCTTTAGTATTTCTTGGTTTCTTGTTTTTCACAAGAGGGAGAATTTACCAGCTAGGTACCAACTGCTGTAAAAACACAGTGTTAAGGAAAAAAGAATGATTTTAACTGTACTGACTGCTATGTATTGTATCCACATCTACTGCCAGCACAGAAACTGCATGTTATACAATGTATTACAATGAATGAATTTCCCTGCTTTTCAAGTGAGATCTTGGTATCCTAGCTGTACCCTAGATTTAAAGCACACAGAAGTTGCCCTCCAATTCAAGAAATATGCATGATGCAAGCATCCATACACATCAACCAACAAAGGTGTTCATTCAAGTCTTTTATTACAGCTTGAATTTTTTCACTGCATTTAAAAATCTAAAAAAAATAAATATTTGTTTCACAGCTGCAAGTCACATATGCATTAACACCACAAAATCTGGAATTTAACCAGAGAAGGAAAGTCAAATCCGAAAGTGTCCAGCTAAGCACAATCGTCTCAGGGCAATTATACTAAAAATAAAATCTTAAGAAAAGGGGAGAGGGGTGTTAAAGAGTTATTTCAAATGCATTTATCTGGAAAAAAGTGAAAATTCTATTAGAAACCATAAACTATGCTTTCAGCATTTAAAAATAAACGTTTAACCTCTTGACAGCAACAATTGTCTGGTGCATCTTTTTCTTTTAAGCTGTATTCTTGACACATGGCTGCAGAGGTTTCAAATGATAAATTAACCTCTTTTATAATTGTGTCCACTTAATTACAGAATCAGTCCTTAAAAATAAAACAGTGTATTAAGTCAGCTTGTCCATCCACATATTAAAAATGCCATTGTATGCAGTTTTGTATCAGCGTTAAGTGACTGCTTCATGGATTGTACATTGTGAAGATGAATGTCTCTTAAACAATCACTTTCATTATTAAGGTTCTTAAAACAAACCAGAAAAATATATCTTCAGAAATCAGAGTAGTCACTTTTTTGTTAAAAGCCATAAAATAAGCTCATATTCAATTACAAGCAATAGAAACCATACTGCTATCGGAACATAATTATTTTATCACAAAAATTTATTATTTACAAAATGAAAAGTTACCAAGTGAATTTATCAGGGAAAAAGTTAAATGTTCTAAGTGATTTGTAAAACTTAAGCAAGTCTCTCATGCACTCACACGCCAAATTGTTTGCATAAGGTGAAATGTTAATACATGTTAGTGAAACTTGACTCCCATTCACAATACTCTCGTTTTTATTGTAAGATGGCAAAATCCACATGGTTCTGTACAAGAAGGTATGTATTAAGACAGTTCCTCATTTTTGTAAATGTTTTTTGGCTCCCATGAATATCCGTACGACTGAACGTTTTCGCAAATAATCAGTTATATTATCAACTCCATCATTTAATCCACTGAATTTACCACCACAAGAAAGACACAAAAAGTTAGTTTAATGATCCCACGTTACACAGAACTCTCATTTCTGAAGTTATACTAAACTGAAACCTTCGTAGTGATCTATAGCCTGGATCAACTTAGATTTTAGGGTTTCTTTATCTGTGTATTTTGGAAGATCAAGAAGATTAAAGCAAGTGTGAGCTACCGGAAGATAATCTTCTCCACCTCCTGTTGGTTGGATGACTAGTTTAAGACACTTCATTCCAAGAATTGGAATACGATCACTGCCTGTCAGAAACACTGCCAAGAAAAAACAAACAAACAAGGTCTTGAAAGTAGTTTAAGACTAACATTTTATATGTCATATATGCAGTTCTAATCGGTATTTCCATTTTTTAATTATTCCAGCAGTGGTTAGCTTTTCACACCGACATTGTTCTGGTAAGTTTGAAAAACAGGGAATAATGGCTTAACCCGATCTCCAGCTTACACATATGAACTCTTAACTGCAACACCACAAGTGATATATAAAGGAAAACATTTCATTTTAGCATATGAAACCAAACAGTCCTCAAAAAAAAAAAAAAAGGAGGAAGTTCTTCATGCATCAGAATTTGTTATTTAAAATCCATTGCCTATGCCTTTACCAAGCATTTGCAATACACAGAATTAGTTTTTTCAATAAGAAATTTATCTGAATTGGAAACTAATCTATGATCTATTCTCAACAAAAGCTCGTTCACAGGAAGCTTCCGTAACTTTGTTTCTCCCCTGTACGTTTCTATTCGTATCAGTACCTTGAGGTATTTACAATCAGTTATAACTCCAAAATTCCATCCATGTGCCATGACAAAACTGGAGGATCTGAACTTTATGTCAAAAGACAGAAAAAAATCCTAGTCATCAGATAAATGATGCTAGCAGTTTATGTTGTCGGTTCTTTTCAGGTTTGGGGTTTTTTTTTAATTTGTTTATTTTTTTAATGCTGGTCTGGTGTACTGCAATCTTGTAACTGCCCACTAACCAGAATTACTGGGGACAACCCCAGCAAAATCACAGACAAGCTCTATTTCTTCTACTATGATTTTTTACTTCCAAATAAAGTTAATCACATCATTATAGACAAATACTTACGTCTGCCCTCATATAGCAAGAGCCTGAAATCAGAGTGATCCTGTTCAGTTAGCAGCTTCTGTGAAGTGGTTTCAAATACTTACGCAAAAACTGTTTTTTCTTCTCCAAAGACAACTCATGAAAAACCTCCCAGAATATTTTAATTGTAGGATGGTCTGCCCAGTATTCTCCTTTGTATTCTGTATTCTAAAATGAGCAGGAAATTAGGTTATTGTTCGCATGTAGAACTAGTAGGATAATCTGACATTAAAGTAGACTGAATGAGGTTTGTGTAAAGGGATACTGCAAGTAACATACTACTGTTTTCCTTGGTCAATTTTCTTCAGCTGTTCAGTCTGATCTCAACTATATGGACAGATGCAGGTACTCCAAAGCATTTTCAATCCCAATGAAGTAGTGACAAACTCTCACAGTGAGTTTTGGCAATTAAGAATATTTACTTTTATTAACTGTGTGCATTTAGTTCACCTTTCCCCCTTCTAATATAATACATTGTATACAGCTGCCTTTTGGTTCTCTGGATTTTTCTTCCTCTCTCTCCTTCTAAGTCTGATCTCCTTCAGAAATTAGATGGGAAAACGTTAAGCAGGAAGGTAAATAATGTTTTAGTGTCTTCATTCACTGACATTTTAAAAAGAAGCTACTTAATCATGCAGTCAACCCAATCAAGGCTGGAAGTCACATTAATTAAAACAGAGCTCAAAAGGACACCTCAAGATTTTGCTTTTGCATCTTGAAATTAGAAATATATGAAACAAATAGCTAACTATGGTTCTTACCTTCTCCAATTCTTTCCAATCATAATTTGTGTTCCCAATCACCATTGCCTGCAACTCGCTGGGCTGGAAGAGCTGAAGAACTTTACCTCCACATACTTTGTGGAAGCCTGCATGGAATGCACTAAATAAGGAAGCCACAGATTTATTGAAGATGTAATCCACATACGCATCTACAAAATCTTGCCTGTACAAAGAAGAAAAAAATAATGGGGGGGGGAGTGGGGGGGGAAGAAAGCACGTCACCCTTCTATCAATGAAACAGTAGCCATTTCTGTATAGAACACAGCATTGAAAGTTAAACAAAAAGGATCCTAATATATTATATTCTCTGCTTCATGTTATCACCACAGTGAAGACAACCTCAATGAAAATGGAACATAAATGTATTTCCCCTCCACGCCCCCAAGACAGAGTCCGTAATGTGCGACAGAAAACCAGTAACATTTAGTGTTATTTATTTCAGGCACTATAAACATTTCTCTTATTTGTATGCATTGCAGTGAATTGGACTGAACGGCAACAAGCTTAAAGGCTTGAATTACATGCAGTGTCCTGAAACCGACTAGTCAAACTCACTGCCGTATTTTTTAATTAAAAAGATTACCATATCTGCATTGAAAATGGAGCTAGGATACTGAAAAACCGCATCTACAAAATCTTGCCTGTACAAAGAAGAAAAAAATAATGGGGGGGGGAGTGGGGGGGGAAGAAAGCACGTCACCCTTCTATCAATGAAACAGTAGCCATTTCTGTATAGAACACAGCATTGAAAGTTAAACAAAAAGGATCCTAATATATTATATTCTCTGCTTCATGTTATCACCACAGTGAAGACAACCTCAATGAAAATGGAACATAAATGTATTTCCCCTCCACGCCCCCAAAGACAGAGTCCGTAATGTGCGACAGAAAACCAGTAACATTTAGTGTTATTTATTTCAGGCACTATAAACATTTCTCTTATTTGTATGCATTGCAGTGAATTGGACTGAACGGCAACAAGCTTAAAGGCTTGAATTACATGCAGTGTCCTGAAACCGACTAGTCAAACTCGCTGCCGTATTTTTTAATTAAAAAGATTACCATATCTGCATTGAAAATGCAAATCAACTTCAAACAGACATTTCAGTCCTATACAGTAGAAAGATCAGTGCAAAGGAGCTAGGATACTGAAAAACAGGCTGTCTGTTATTTGTGCTTTGGTACAAGGAGTTCTCATATCTTGTTGGAAACATCATCTTTTGCAGCAGTTAGGGGGAGAACTAAAATTCCTTGATGTGATACAGTATTTATGATGATGATTTTTTTTTTAATTACCATTTTAATCAAGCCTAGTTAACACTGTTCATTTCTACACTGGCAGAGTGACTTCACATCTATAAGTGATCCTACAGTTATCCTACCAACATACTTTCTCTGTGAAAACCCACAGTATTTGAACAACATCCACAGTATTTGAATAACACCACCAATAATTTAAAGAATCATCTAAACACATTTTAACGATACATTTATTAAAGTTGTTGAACTGAAAATACTGGAGATGAGCAAAGCGGTGAATCACATTCCTCCTCTTCCAGCACTCAATGAGATATCCATTACACTATGTAATTAACAGAGAGGCAGGTAACTTGTGTAACCGTGGAAGGAAAGGCTGCTCCAGAGAAAATTCATAGTAATAAACTAATTAGCATTATTATACCCTATGTTAATATTTTAAAAACTGAATTAAAGCATCATGGAATATTTGGATCTTGAGAAACAGGAATTCTTCATTGCAGCAAGACAATTGGTGATGACAGTGCAGCATACCTTCCATGGGCACCCTGAAACTTTTCTCATAATTCAACTCCAATTTTACTGTCACTTTGTGACAGAACACCAAACTACCACCAGAGAACTTCAAAGCTATTGTGTTTAAGATAAAGTATCACAAATCCTCAGCTATAAGGCAAGGATTTAAAAACAAAACAAAACAAAACAGTGCAACAGCTATAGGTGGTGATTGCACTTGTTAATGGTAGGGTTAAGTCAGGAGGATAAAACTCACTCCACTGTGGGAGGTACTGTCACTGCACGTGGCTATGTGGGGGTTT